TTTCGTTTTTTTGACTCATTTTGATCGTACACAGACCTTTTAGAAAATTTTAATGGTTTTGACCCCAAATCGAGGGTTAACCCCCTTTGTAAATTTTGCCACATCGAGAGCCAACATCATGGGTTAGCCTCTTTGAAAATATCAACGACGGCTCCATCCAAATCGAAACCCTGAAAGTGTTCTTTTTACTTTTCCAACCGCTCTAAACTATAACTAGACATCATCTTTTGTTCCATTTTGATGCGGTAAGAATATTTGACTTCTTATCCTAAATCATGGGTTAACGCCTTTGCAAATATTCAAGAGCGCCGCAGTCAAAATACTGAATCCTAAGTGTTGTTAATTTTCATATCACCCTTTAAGTATCCCGGTTCTTTAAAACGTTTCCGTCGATGAATCATTACACCTGTTCTCTGGTTTTAAACTTTTTACATGTTGATATAAAACCCGTTTAGACGGTGCGATTTTTGTAAGATTTCAAATTGCAGATGTAAACTGGAGGCCATCTCAAGGAGATTTGTCAAAGTGCGAGCACGTGTATCTATACCACTTAAATCACCTGCGTCAACGGGCGTTAAAAGTTTAAATTTTAAAGCTTTCCATATTAAAAAAGAAAACACCCGTTTCTTCGTCCTTACAAAAACAGGTCATACTAGAAATTTTTTGTTAAGTTTATACTTAAGTGACATGGATATGCGAAGTATGACATTATAGTTATCCTTAAATTCCGGGGCCGAGTTGTTCGAAGCTGGGTTAAAGTTAACCCAGGGTTAGTGCGAGATTTGAATTCAGATTTGAAAGCTTAAAAAGCATTTCATTTTCAATTCTTTTTGTTTAAAAGTTGATGACTGGAAGCTCTAAACTGGAGAGAAATAACAGGGGAAATTATCCGACAAAATGCTTTTGAACACAAGAAAAAGAAACCAGGGCCCAGTTGTTCAAAGGCCGATTAGCGCTTAACCCGGGGTTAAATTTAATCCCGGTTTCTTCTTCTTGTGTTCAAAAGTATTTTCACGGATAATTTTCTGTGCTATTTTTAGAGCTTCCAATCATCAACTTGTAGACAAAGAGAATTAAAAGTGAAATGCGTCTAAGGCGTTCAAATCTGAATTCAAATCTCCCACTAACCTTGGGTCATCTAAACCCACCTTTGAACAACTCGGCCCTGGTTAAATTTAACTCAGGGTTAAGCGCTAATCGGTCTTCGAACAACTGGGCCCAGATGAATATCCTTTTCTGTTCATTAAAACACCAGTGGTGGTCAATGACTTGAACTATGATTTATTCAGAAGAAACAATTACCATCAGGCATTTTCAAACGTATTTAAATCCCTTAAGAGGATATTAAGTCGAATGTTGGGAAATCAAAATCACTGTCCTCGTCTCCAGCCCCTTTAGTATCGATAATATATACACATGAGGTATTTTCTTCACAAGGCCGTGTTTCTGTTTCAAGTCCTTTCCAGAGATCGCTCGTGTACGCACTCAAAGGCTGTGATAAAGAAGACGAATCTGGTGTTACTTTCACAGCTTTTTGTCCTCTAACATTACTCAGTTGGTCCGCTTCCCCTCTTGAATCTCTTGGATCTGCAGCAAGACAGGGAATTTTTTTTGTTTTGTATAAGCGCACTTTCTCTTTTGTATACTATATTTGTACTTTATAGTGACGTTAGTGATAAGCGCGCACTATATTTGTACTTTATAGTGACGTTAGTAATAAGCGCACACTATATTTGTACTTTATAGTGACGTTAGTAATAAGCGCGCACTATATTTGTACTTTATAGTGACGTTAGTGATAAGCGCACTTTCTATTTTGTATTTGATTGTTACGTTAGTAATAAGCGCACACTATTTTGTATTTGATTGTTACGTTAGTAATAAGCGCGCACTATATTTGTACTTTATAGTGACATTAGTGATAAGCGCACTTTTTATTTTGTATTTGCTTGTTACGTTAGTAATAAGCGCGCACTATATTAGTACTTTATAGTGACGTTAGTGATAAGCACACACTATATTTATACTTTATAGTGACGTTAGTAATAAACGCGCACTATATTTGTACTTTATAGTGACGTTAGTAATAAACGCGCACTATATTTGTACTTTATAGTGACGTTAGTGATAAGTGCGCACTATTTGTACTTTAAAGTGACGTTAGTAATAAGCGCACACTATATTTGTACTTTACAGTGACGTTAGTAATAAGCGCGCACTATATTTGTACTTTATAGTGACGTTAGTGATAAGCGCACTTTCTATTTTGTATTTGCTTGTTACGTTAGTAACAAGCGCGCACTATATTGTACTTTATAGTGACGTCAGTAATAAGCGCGCACTATATTTGTACTTTATAGTGACGTTAGTAATAAGCGCGCACTATATTTGTACTTTATAGTGACGTTAGTGATAAGCGCACACTATATTTGTACTTTATAGTGACGTTAGTGATAAGCGCACTTTCTATTTTGTATTTGCTTGTTACGTTAGTAATAAGCGCACACTATTTTGTATGTGATTGTTACGTTAGTAATAAGCGCGCACTATATTTGTACTTTACAGTGATATTAGTGATAAGCGCACTTTCTATTTTGTATTTGCTTGTTACGTTAGTAATAAGCGCGCACTATATTGTACTTTATAGTGACGTCAGTAATAAGCGCGCACTATATTTGTACTTTATAGTGACGTTAGTAATAAGCGCGCACTATATTTGTACTTTATAGTGACGTTAGTGATAAGCGCACACTATATTTGTACTTTATAGTGACGTTAGTGATAAGCGCACTTTCTATTTTGTATTTGCTTGTTACGTTAGTAATAAGCGCACACTATTTTGTATGTGATTGTTACGTTAGTAATAAGCGCGCACTATATTTGTACTTTACAGTGATATTAGTGATAAGCGCACTTTCTATTTTGTATTTGCTTGTTACGTTAGTAATAAGCGCGCACTATATTGTACTTTATAGTGACGTCAGTAATAAGCGCGCACTATATTTGTACTTTATAGTGACGTTAGTAATAAGCGCGCACTATATTTGTACTTTATAGTGACGTTAGTGATAAGCGCACACTATATTTGTACTTTATAGTGACGTTAGTGATAAGCGCACACTATATTTGTACTTTATAGTGACGTTAGTGATAAGCGCACTTTCTATTTTGTATTTGCTTGTTACGTTAGTAATAAGCGCACACTATTTTGTATGTGATTGTTACGTTAGTAATAAGCGCGCACTATATTTGTACTTTACAGTGATATTAGTGATAAGCGCACTTTCTATTTTGTATTTGCTTGTTACGTTAGTAATAAGCGCGCACTATATTGTACTTTATAGTGACGTCAGTAATAAGCGCGCACTATATTTGTACTTTATAGTGACGTTAGTAATAAGCGCACACTATATTTGTACTTTATAGTGACGTTAGTGATAAGCGCACTTTCTATTTTGTATTTGATTGTTACGTTAGTAATAGGCGCACACTATATTTGTACTTTATAGTGACGTTAGTAATAAGCGCGCACTATATTTGTACTTTATAGTGACGTTAGTAATAAGCGCGCACTATATTTGTACTTTATAGTGACGTTCGTAATAAGCGCGCACTATATTTGTACTTTATAGTGACATTAGTGATAAGCGCACTTTTTATTTTGTATTTGCCTGTTACGTTAGTAATAAGCGCGCACTATATTTGTACTTTATAGTGACGTTAGTAATAAGCGCACACTATATTTGTACTTTATAGTGACGTTAGTGATAAGCGCACTCTCTATTTTGTATTTAATTGTTACGTTAGTAATAAGCGCGCTCTATATTTGTACTTTATAGTGACGTTAGTGATAAGCGCACTTTTTATTTTGTATTGGATTGTTACGTTAGTAATAAGCGCACACTATATTTGTACTTTTTAGTGACATTAGTGATAAGCGCACTTTTTATTTTGTATTTGCTTGTTACGTTAGTAATAAGCGCGCACTATATTTGTACTTTATAGTGACGTTAGTGATAAGCGCACTTTCTATTTTGTATTTGATTGTTACGTTAGTAATAAGCGAACACTATATTTGTACTTTTTAGTGACATTAGTGATAAGCGCACTTTTTATTTTGTATTTGCTTGTTACGTTAGTAATAAGCGCGCGCTATATTTGTACTTTATAGTGACGTTAGTGATAAGCGCACTTTTTATTTTGTATTTGATTGTTACGTTAGTAATAAGCGTACACTATATTTGTACTTTATAGTAACTGTTCATCAGTAAGGTGGTTAAAACGTTTGCACTTCCTCAACTGGTGTTTGGTAAGAGCGCCCTCAATTTACTGGTTGATTGTTAAGTTAGTGATAAGCGCGCTATCTGTATTGTATTTGACTGTTGCGTTATTGATAAGCCCAGGTTCTGTTTTCTTATTGATATTATTACGTTACCGACACTGGATTTTTATAGATGTCCAGCTTGTAAATTATTTCCTGCGCCATCCAGGTAAACTTACCATCTTCATAAGTCGATCAAAAAGAGTTTGCTCAAGGCCAGCTTCGTGTTCAGGCTCCGAACGTTGCATCACAGGACTCAGTTGCTAAAGAAGAACAAGGACAAGACACTTATTACATACTTGTGCGCAAAACTACTTTCCATACCAACTTATCTTATAGGAAAAATTACCGTTTAGAACGCGAATAAACCAACAAAGAAAGAGAAAAACTAGAGACTACCTGAGAGGATCGAGGTTTCAAATTAAAGAGGACAAATGAATTGATATATAAATAAGAAAAGCCAAGGTTAATATTTATTGCGACCTACTTCTGCAAGAGAATACATGCATGCAAAATTTGGACGGGAGACTTTGACATGATAATAATGAAGCTATATGCGGAGGAAGGTCTTAAACAGTTCTTAGTCTGACAAAGTCTGTAACAAAGAAATATTGAGGCGTGTCGGTGAGTAGAGGGCATCTGTTATCAAAGAAGACAGAGGGTCTGGCTTGGTCATAGCCTATGGCATGGTGATCTTGTCCTGTAAGTGATTGAAGGGAGAATCGAATAGGAAAGAGGCCCCCGGGAGGACCTTGAGCGGGAATGTTGGATAGAGTGAAGGATGGCGGCCTTTATGGTCACCGTAGAACAAGTTATTCAATCCACTTACTTTTGGGTCACCAACCAGGACAAGTTTCTGACATTCAAATCTAAATGGAAAGAAAAACTGTTATTGAAAACGTGGATTAACCACAAGAAGTAAACGCAGACTAAATACATTCAGTAAGGTTCTTCTGCAAAAGTACAGGTTTCATCTTCTTTGTCCATCTAGGATACGAATAAAGATCAAAGATTTGTTCCAGAACATCACCTGGCCATGGGTAGAAGAGAGGCTGGCTCTGTCATTTGACTGCATTCATCCAGGAGTAGAATCTATCAGTTAGATAAATGTGATAAATATGATAAAATAATGACGAGTCAAATCCTAACAATATTCTCTAAATAACTTAGCATGTCTGGGTAAGTGTACGTGTCATGGCAGATTGGTTGACCTGTGTGAGAAATGTTCGGACGAAGGCACGTAGAGACGGCCACGTGACAACCAAAATTTTGCGGAAGGGATACATACCAGTTTTTCGTGCCCATGGTGCTCCACGCGCAACATTAAAAGCAAAAAATTAGATAAACTACGCAAGCGCGAGGTTAAAAGAAGTTAAGAGAAAGGATCAAACAAATTCAATCTTTTCAGAACAAGACGATGTCTAGACGAGTTTAAACCCTTCTTAAAATGTCACAACATCTTACATCAGCTGTAGACAGTTTCTAGACAAAACTTTATATTCGAGAACAAGATTTGACTTGAAACTTTTTCATGTATTCTCCAAAAATATACACCTCAGAAAGCTACCTGAAAAAAAAAAAAAAAAAAATTTTTCACCAGAATAGTTAGCATGGTTATTTTTAGGAGGTTAAACATTCTCCAAATCGCAAAATGATAAAAATTCCATTATTTGATATCTTGTTTTTCCCACTACGGCATTCTAGTTAAAACGCCTAGTAGAGTGACGATGGCTATCACGTTATCCCGCCAAAGTTATACTACTGTGAACAGTTTATCAAGTATGAGTGTTATGCATGCTGTTTTTTCTTACAATTTTGGTTTGAGATGTAACGGCGTTAGTGTGTACTGTTAAATAAGGACGCCGGAACCTTGAATTTTGAGTTGAGAATAGAACACTGCTATTCAAGATACATGTTTTCACAGAGCTGTGTTGTTTTCAAGTTTGCTCGACATTTTTGCTGCCGCGGATAATCTTCGAAAAACAAGATAGAGCAAATTTGGCAGATTATTATAAGGCACCCAACCTATATGATATGAAATTAAAAGCTTGATTCACGCGTGAGCGGTATTTTCCGTGATTAGTCGTTCTCGTCTTAGAATCAAAAGGTCTCTAACATAGTTACCCACTCAACATACTTGAAACTTTAACTTATCGAGGCAAGGAAACACACAGGCAGCACACGTGAAACCCACCACTCGAACCTGAGATAATTTCTGAAAACGAAAGAGAAACAACAGAATTTTGCACAACTAGACACTTCCAGTCGTAATCAAATTTTCAAGTCAAGAATGGGTTGTTCAGAAAGCAAAAGGGAACAACTTATTATTTTTTATTGTAAATTCATTGGACATATTTTTACTGTGCTCGTTTAGGTAAGTTAAAGATATAATTATAGCGCTGATTTAAGGTTATTCAAAGTCTCCTTGAACTGAATTGCGGCCAAGAGAGACCAGGTGAGTCTTTGAATTTCCCTGGTAACAGTGTTATGTGGCCATTGAAGAGTAGTATTAATTGAGTGGGGTTGAAATATGACCTCCTTTTTAAGGGGAGGTTAGGGGTTTGAAACATTTTAAACTTAAAATATGCATAATAAAAACATGTCAGTGAAGCAGAAGCAAAAATTCAGAAACAAACGGTACGCCAACGAACAAAGTGGGTAAAGTCAGTAGAGAACAATTGGACATTATCCTCTTTTGGTAAGGTAAGGTAAAGTTTATTGATTACATCAGTCTGTATCCTGTTTGCATTGAAATGACCGTTGTGAAGTGGTCGTTTTTTTAGTTGCAGTATAATCTAATGGCTATCGCCCATGATATTTTTATTTTGACAAGAGTAACCATGACTGACAGAGAAAACAAAACATAATTAACTGTTAGTTTATCAGATGTATCTGCTTGATTGTTGCCATGGATCTACAGGTTCAAAAAAAAAAAAAAAGGGCCGTGCCTTTCAATGTAGTCATAGAAATTCCCCAAAATATATAATCAAACTTGTTTCGCAAAAGATTGGCAATATCTATACCATAGTATTTACCTACAATATTTTATTAAGGTAAGTTGCTACGCTGTATATAAAATGTCGTAGTTTCGTGAGGTCTTCATGCATTTTTAGCCAGATTGTGAAAATTGAAAATTGAAAATTGCGCCTGCGGTTTAATGTATGGAAAATAAATGGAAAAAAATTGCATAGCTTTCTTATTGAACTAAAATAATTAATATGGACAGTTTTCCATGCAAAACGGTCATTGGGCTATAAGCAAAATATTTGTGGGCGACCTGTAACTTTAGTATTGGGTTTTAAAATGTCTAGACATTTTTGTTTAATATTGTCCGACTCTAAGTCAACTTTTATGTAAATGTAATTAGCAAATGCCCTCAAACTATTACCCTTATCAATTAACCTTAATTACTCTGGGTCATTCTTGATTGGTTCCTTTTCTGGACGAGCCTCCTTAAATAGTCGGAAGTAAGTTGTTTTCTGCACTTCAATTGAAGTTCTTTAGGAAGTTCTGTAACAAAGGCTTTCTCAAAGGTAAGAATGTGTACTTTTTGTTACAATATAAATTTTTCATGATACTCCTAGCGTTTTCAAAGTTAAACTCTTCTTGCAACGTAAACGTTTTTTCCTTTATTCGTTACATGACCTTACATTCAGTTTTTAAGTAACTTTTTTCTAATCGAGAAGTCAACCATGATAGAATGAAAAGGTTGGGGCCACAAACAGATTGTAAGAAGACTAACAGTACTAGTTTTCCGTTAAAAATGCGTTCAGGAAACAGGATTTTATTTTATTTTAGCTCGTTTGATATTTGCGCCCTCTGGTATTCGTGATCTTACGTTAGCTTGCCGGTATTTAGAAAGAGTAGTAAGTGTACTAAAAAGGAAGAAGATTTTAATAATAAATAATAAAATATTTATATAGCGCTTATACTTTTCAGTGGTAAGCGCGTGAGTGTTTTGTTTATTTTTGAAGCTAAGGATTGTTTTATGTATGATAAAGGTATATGCTAAAGTTGTCTTACTAATTGTTAAATCATATCGAAACGATGAAAACATGCCCTTTAAAGGAAGCCATGACCGCTATAACTTTACCATCCATTTTTTCTTTCAGCTTTTTCCTCTTCAGCACAGACTGAAAAATGCGTCCATTGATCGCCTCCGTTGTGTTGTTTATATTTGTGGCTGTAACTCAGGCTATCGGTGAGAAGTAAATTAATATAACAAACACCTGACGAGACGAATGGTCTTCATCACATATCAAACAGCGAGAAGGACGATGAAAAGACAGCGTGTAGCAGAGTAGAAAGAAATTTGAAGGTTTTTGTTGTGTAATGAAAATTATTCGAATGTTTCGAAAAAAAATTGAACATACCCCCGCCCTCAAACGAGTCTTACATCAGATATCTAAACATAGCATGATTCATTACTTCCTTTGCCCCTTTTCCCCACTATTAAAAATCTCTAACTGGGTGGTGATTCCTTTACAGTCTTTTAAAATCTCTTGAACAATCTTAAAAGATTGTTCACGAGATTTGTAAAGACTGTAAAGGAATCACCACCCAGTCAGGACAGAACAAGTTCCTTTATGAGGCTTTTAAGATAAATGACCTGACTAAAACAGGAATTCAGTCTCACCATAATCACTTGAAAACAATTTAATTCTTTCTCAGGGCCTCTTTGTGGTGGTGAGAATACCTGTTACTACATAAATGACCCCTGTCCATTTGGAACTGAAGAATGCTCTGAACAGTTTAGATGCGCATTGGGAACTAACAAATGCTGCTGCAAAAGTTAGTGAGATAGCATCAGATATTCACCATTTTGAGATTGCAGCGCGGTAGACCGGGTGGAGATTGTTGTCAAAGTGGATTGTGGGACTGTTTTAGGGGACAAATTTGTCGCTTCGTTGGAAATTCGTCCCCCAAAACAGTCCCACAATGCATTTGACAACCATCTCGACCAGGTCTCCGGCGCAACCTCAAAATGGCGAATAGTAAGCAATATTTTTGTAATTCTCTAACAATCTTTGTTGATTCTTGAATAAGGATGTTTTCATTTTAAAAATTCGCAGTTTATCCAGTATAAGTATTTTTGAGGCGAGATAAAAAGTGATCAGTCGTTGCTCGAATGAGAATAACGGTATACAGTAATGGTTTTGATGCACATAGCAGAATAAAGGTACCTTGTAGAGCTTCAACGTATTGGCCCAACATAGTCTAACAATATTTGAAGGTGATAAATCGGTTCCCGGCAATCGAACGGGTTCTAACGAAATAGCGCTATGTTCGTAAGTGTGAATAATTGTTAGACTTTATATTCTATAATGCCGCGAACTAAGGCTGAAATAAGTTTTAAGAGAGGCGGACATTAAGACAAATGAGATAATTCCAGAGCACATACGAATTGGCATCAGGGGAACCGTACTATAAGTTACATGACACCTGATTTTTCTAATAAAATTTGAGGCAATGTAAAAGGAAGTTAATAATCGTCACACTGAACAGTTTGGATCCCCAAAAGTAGCGAGACTTTGGAAAAAGCGATTCCCAGGAGCTGCCATTTAGTGGCGGATCCAAGGGAGGGGCCTGCCCCACCCCCCCCCTAATTTTTAGACCAAACTGAGACCTGATGGGCCAAAAAAAGTTTTTGGGAGACCGCCCCCCCCGCTTATCTCAGGGTCTAGGGGACCACCTCTCGCCCCCCCCCCCCTCCATCTCAAGGTCTGGATCTGGCACTGCCATTTGTCACAAAAATAACGACGATGGCTCTTTTCGATCCTTTACGTAGTAGCAAGACTAACCTTTTGTATCTCGGCACAGGTTGTCCAGAGGGATGGGATGAATTCGGATCTCTTTGCTACTTTCACGTCAACAAAGGCAAGATGACGATGGGCCAGGGACAAGACGAATGCCAACTCTTAGGAGCCACGCTGCCAGTTATCAAATCAGCCGAAGAAAAAGACTTTCTTCTTAATCTGATGGAGGAAAATGGTGAGCCATGGCTTGGAGTGGAAGCATCAGATAGTGATAACGATTTCAAGTGGGTAGATGAAACGTCAGTGGTAAGCAACTTCTCCGCATGAGCTCCGGGTGAGCCTAACTACTCTGGAATAGAAGAGAACTGTGCGTACATGTACATCAGCGGAAATTACAAAGGAATGTGGAATAACAATCCTTGTGAACAACTCCATCATGTTGCATGCCAAAAGCAGAAGTAACGCGCTCACCCCAGTTCTGCCGAAGGATTATAACTGTATGCTGGACGCACAGGTAGAATTGTAGTGGGCGATGAATGCTGAGTCAGCTGAAAAATAGAGAATAAAAGGTGCTGGGATATATTACGTGTTTTCTGAAAATCTTCTGTTTTTTTTTGTCATAATAAATTTTTAAAATTAGTACCTCGATGGTAGAGAAAAGGTATGAGAATTAGTAAAATGATCACCATAGGGTAAGTGCTTTAAGCTATCATCAAATTCTCTCCTCAAATTCTCCAAGGAGAATTGAGAGTATAGAGATCAGTATGTAGAATTTGCATGTTGGTTTAACTTGATACACCACTCCTGCGTATCAAACTTGGGTTGCAATTTTGGTTCAACAATGACAGAGATTTTTTGGGGGCTATTTCATTAAGCTTCAAACACGGTCAAAATTTGCATTTTTGGCGTTTTCTGCCCGCGCAGCGAAGCGAAAAAACTGCGCCAACCGTTCTCTCACGCCACATACAATTTTGGACACTACCTTTTTGTTTCTGCAACTTCACACGAGTTTCAACATTGTATTGGGGCAGATGGAGAAGAATTAAATAGGTGGAGTGAAATATGGTTTACGGGAGTGGCCCGGTGATGATGGTTATAATGTAGACGTTAGTTAGGGGTTGTTCGATTATGAATGAATTGCATAAACCCTAATCCTATAACAAGACAAAATAAAAATCAGCTTATTCAAATAAATGTTTTAAACCCATAGAGTAAAATATTGGGAGCCGATGTACCCCGGTGAGAACAGTTCAAATGTCGATTCAATCGATTTGTGCAATATCCAGCTCTTTGTAAGTAATGATTAATAAAATATATAAGCCACCAAAAACAGCGGAATTGTTGGGTAGCAAAAACGTTAATCAGCTCATATCATGCATTCTTCGTAAAGTTTCAGGTTTTTCAAAGAGAGTGTATTCGAATCTATTTGGTAAATCGAACTCAAATTTTCATAAATGACTGTAATTGCCATGTTCCTTCAAAATATGTTACTCGAGTAGTTTGATCAGAGAATGATAAGGACATATTAATGAGGCTAAAAATGTCAGCAAATATTCGCTCATGTTAGGAGTTGATATCAAATTTTATGTAAATCAATGAACGGTGCGAAAAGGGTGCCATGTGCAGGTACCGGCTACGAGCACCGTTAAAGATATAAAAGAAACATTTTATAAAGAAATACCAGAATTAACGGCACATAGAACACTAAAAGCCTGAATTAAACAAGCAGTTGATAATTTACAGTAGAACCAGTCTATGCTATGGTTACTTAAGGAACCGCGTTAAGTGTACTTTTCACATTGTATCATGACAGCATTTTTAAAGAGTGAATTCTTTTAAGCGCATTACACAACCCACATTGGACTGTTTAGAGGCCTGTCAGCCTTTTATATAATGTTCAGGGTCACTATGCGAGAAAAAGAACCTAAAAAGACAACAGCAACAACAACAACAACAACAACAAAACAAACTTATTTCATCAGATATAACGTCTTGATTGCTTCCTGGATCCTTAACCTTCGTGCTAAAAAGGGAAATTGCGAATGATTTAAACGTAGTCTCGGATGATCCTTGTATCGAAAATTACTTGAAATAACTCTATACTATGGTATCCACCCACAACATCTTATTTCGGTACGTTTCTACGCTGTTTTCAAAATTCTGCGAGGCCTGCATTCATCAGTTTTTAGTTTCTTGAGTGCGGACACCAAATGACAAAATAAAAAAGATTGAAAAGACACTGTGAACAATACCCAGAGCACGGCACAATAGCTAACCAACAATAGTTCCCTCAACATCATGAAACAGTCATTTTTTTTAAATTAAAAATTGCGCATGCGATTAAACGTAGCCAAGGAAATTCCTCTGCCGTGGCCAAACCTGTATGGAAAATAATTGGAAAAATTGCATAGCTATAGTATTAAACAAAATATTTATTTAGAAGAATTTGTCGTTTAAAAACGTCCATTCGGATGTTAGCGAAATACTTTGCGTGCAGTCTGTAGTTTTACTATAGCTTTTTAAAATGTCTAGACATTTAGTTCAGTATTGTTCATTTCTAGTCGATTTGTATCATGTAAATGTAATTGGCAAAGACCCTTTCAATTACCTTTATTAAATAACTCTAATTGCTTTAGAAGCAGTTTCATTGGTTCTTTTCTTGGATACTTAAAATGTCTATAAAAAGTCGGAAACAGTTCATTCTCTTCACTTCAGTCCAGTTTGGAGGAATTCACGAATCATCGCCTTTGTCGAAGGTAGGTATGATAGCCGTAGCGTTTTCAAAAAGGAACTATTTGTGTCCAGTAAACGATTTTTTTAAAAAAGACCAATGGCCTTAAATTAAGTTATTAAGTAACCTCACCCTAATCAAGAGGTCAACCAGGCCTAAAATATTGCTAACACATAGAAAAATTGCAAAGAAACACACACAACACACAAGCAAACTTATGAATAGCTTAAAAATAGTAGCATTACTGCTAAAAGCACTTTTTGAGAAACAGGTTTTCTCCTTTTTTTAATTGGCATGTTTGCACGGTATTTGTCTCCATTGTTGCAATGGCCCTACCCTCCCTAACTTCTGTATAGAAACATCGTAAAGTATACTTCAAAGAGGAATACTTTAATTTCTTTGTTTCTGAAGCTAAAGAGAGAGATTTATTTATATGATTCAAGTATATGGTAAGGTCGTCTTACTGACTGTTCAATCATATTAAAACTGAATATTAACAATGCCTACTAAATGGGGAACGACTATGCCTTCGCTGCTGACAAAGCGTTTATGTAACTTCTATATTAATTTTTTCTTCTAGAGTTTGCCTCTTCGTTACATACTGAAAGATGCGTTCATTAATCGCCTCTATCCTATTGCTTATTTTCGTGGCTGTATCTCAGGCAAGCGGTGAGAAAACGTCAAGTAATTTATCAAACACAAGGAAAATAATGTTTAATCACATATCAAACACCGACAGGGAAAGTTGGTTTAACTGGTTTATCCAACTTGATCAATTTGCGATGAAAATTTATTGAATGTTTAATGTAAATTTCAAACAAAATTATATATATTATTAAAACTAGAATACAGGTGAGACTGTTGCATTCTCAGACTAGTAGTTTTTCATCAGATATTTTATCATGGAATGGTTCACCTCCCCACCACGCCCCCTTTAAAGAAATTCATGAGTTTTTTTAAGGTTTTAAAAATGCAGTTATAACAAAGTCGTTTATTAGAAACTAATAGATAAAACTACTTATCATTTTGCGCTAATTTGTTACTCGCCCAGTTGACAAAGAAATGCATCATGACTACATATATATGTTGTGGTTCAGTTTTATCCTTGTTTTAAATTTTATTTCTTTTGTTTCAAACTCATTATCATATATTACCATACCCAAAAACAAAAGCAAATAAAACTTAAACCGAGGATAAAATTGAACCACAATATATACATCAAATAAGCGAGCTAAAAAGAAATTTAATTTGACATTAATGGCTTGAAATTTATTTTGCTTACTTTTTCAGGCCAAACTTGTAGTGGTGGCAATACGTGTTATTATATAAATGACCCGTGCCCATCTGGAACTGAGGATTGCTCTGATCAGTACAGTTGTTCATTGGACACCAATAAATGCTGCTGTAAAAAGGCTCCTGGTAAGTTAGGACTTGATTTAGGGCCTGTTTAAATAGAGGTGGGGGACCCCAGGTAGGTGGGGGACCCCAGGTAGGTGAGGTAACCCGTATGTCCATAATTTGATTAATTTGATCACGTTTACATGATAGGTGGGGTAACCCGCCACAGGTTAGCTCACCCGTCTGGGTCCCCCCTTCTCCGTGTGACTCCAAAAATGATTTGGGATTGTCTTTCAATATTTTCTTGCCAAAAGAATCAAAAGGTTTTTTATTCAAAAATTCGCAGTTGGAATTAAGATATATACCGACTTGCCATTCCTGCTTAGAAAGATCTATTTGCCTTTTACAATATACAGTCATGGTTAGAATACACTGAGAACGCTATTGAATAGCTTGTGTTAATTTTTTTTCTCAAAACTCCTATCCGCGGGCGAGGGTTTAAGTCATATTAGCTTTAAGAAACTGAAAACAAGACAAATTTATGTATTAACTCCAGAAAGCATTAAGCCTGAAAAAATAACAGACATTTATCGACGCCACAACTAATAAACAATTAGGCATATCCCAGTTATTCGGAACAATTCTCCGTCATGTCCAATGAATTGATCATTCAGGTCTAACAAAAATTGATCGTTAAGGGCTGCTATTTAATTTATTAGAGTATCAGAGGCATTTTTTTTCTAAAATTTACGTCAGTAGTAACAGTTACTAAGAAAATTACCTTTTGTTATTCTGCGCAGGTTGTCCAGATGGCTGGGTAGAATTTGAATCTCTTTGCTACTTTTACGTCAACAAAGGCGGGATGGGAATGAGTCAAGGCCAAGAAGAATGCCAACAATTGGGAGCCAATCTCCCAGTTATCAAATCAGAGACAGAAAACCAGTTCCTTCTAAGTTTTGTGGAAGGAGAACCATGGCTCGGAATGGAAGCATCCAATGGTGACAACGATTTCAAGTGGGTAGATGGAACGTCAGTGAAGGAGACCTTCTCTGAATGGGCTCCGGGTGAGCCTAACTATCCTGGAGTAGACGAGAACTGTGCGTACATGTACGTAAGCGGAGGTAAAGAAGGAGAGTGGAATAACAATCCGTGTGATCAGCTCCATCATGTTGTTTGCCAAAAGCAGAAGTAACGTGCTTATCTCACTCTTCTGTGAAGAAATTCAATCTACGTGCTGGACTCACATGTAGAACTATAG